TCTCCTTGAAGACTTGTGTGTAGTAGGGCACAGCATATACTGCATCTTCTCAGAAACATAGTAGGTAGCAAATAGAGCTTTCTACTATACCGAGACATGCTACCTCTTCTTGGTTCCACATAGTAGGTGCTTTATGGACCTAAAACAGGCTCCCCAAGGAAATCTCCACCGTTGTTTTAAATTCATCTCCAATTTAAAATTGTTTTGGGTCATATGTTTGGTGAAAATACTCTTGCCTTCTGTGTGGGAGTACCCCTTAACCCTCCAGTTTAACAGGTTGTACATTTTTGTAGGAAGCAGAGGGGGTTGTACTTTGCACAGGGGCATTTTATCTTTAAGCTTGCCAACAGTTCAATCTGGCAGGGGCAAAGGTCTAGCTGTAAACCTGTGTGCTATGTTTTTCAAGACAACTTCAGTGGTAGGTTCTACGCTGTCAAATTCTGGCTTATATTGAATGCAGATCCTTCATAACGTTAATGGTGCTATTTTAATGAGGTACTTTGATTTGAGCCAACCATTCTTACTCAGGTAGGAGCTATCACTTCATGCAGTAGTCTCTAATAGACTGCTGTAAAGGAGTTTTGTATATCTCCACTGGAGCAAATTCATGCTGGCCAGTTTTCATCTGCCAAGAGGTAGCCAGTTTTTCTATACAGTGAAACTGGAAATATGTACATCAAGAACAACAACACACAAGGGCATTTTAAAAAAAAACTGGCAGGATGTGATCCTATGGCTGCCCTGGCTCTCTTCGCTCTTAGAGAACATCATCTTGCATCCAGAACAAAATAGCTTGCTGGTGTTCTAACAGAATCACTAACTTTCTCCAAACTTTTTTTTTTTTTTTTGTAGTAGAAGAATGCTAACAGCTGTATGGCTAGGAATGACACTCTTTCTAGCCTGGTCCAAATATACAACCTGAAGAGTGCTACCTCATTAGCTTGGAAGTCTGGATAACCAGACACACCATACAGGCACCTGTCAAGGCAGCGTGGTCTACCATTCCTGAATATTTTTCCCATGTAAATACTGGCTGTAAGCCTCTGACAGTACTGTAAAGTTTTGTATGGCACTGTAACTTAAGTTACTTAAGCAAGAGATAATGGCAATATTTATGTTAAAGCCTGGTGTTAATATAAGAGGAACTTTTATTCTGGGGCACAAAGGTTGCAACAATTATCTCAAATCTTTAACAAATTTAATTTAAAGAAACACCACCACAAATTTGAACTTCTGTGGTATTGACACACATCTGGTAATAGTTCCTTCATCTGCTGTCAAACAAATGCCATTATTCCTCTGCCTTGATGCACATTACTTTGAATGGAATATTTCTTACACAAAATAAAGTTTGTACTGATTCTAAGAGGTTATGTGCACCATTCCATGAAAGTTACCATTTTCCATGAATTTGGTATTTAACTTTTCAGAGAGATCATATCAGAGCTGTACTAAGAGTTCTCAAGGCCATGTTTGTCACACTTAAATACCAGCAGTGTGAGAGGTTGCTATTAAGGCAGTGTCTAGAGCTACAGGCCCCAAACTCCTTTCACCTCAGATTTGATACAGAAAGAAAAGCACAAAAAACTCTGGTTGTGCAGCTCTCTGGTCTATTTAAAATTCCCAGGGCACCGTGCAGTACACACTGATATGAACAGAATATGGATACTGGCCATTAAAGAGGCTGTGCTAGTGGGGTGGCCTGGGCCCCCCACTGGTGGGGGGGGCAGGTAGCAGCACATGGCCCAGGACCCCCTACTAGGCTGGGGGAGAGCCTGGGACCTCTGCTGGTGCTGGGGGAGGACAGGAGGGATGCGGTGTGCAGTGGGACCCCTAGCGGGGGGAGGGTGGGTTGATGGAGTTGGCAAGCTTCCTATGCAGCTTCCTGGAAGCAGCTGGCATGTCCCTGCAGCTCCTAGGGGGAGGGCCCGCAGCCAATGGGTAGTGCCTGCAGGCAGGGAAACTGCACAGAGCACCCTGGGCCCTCAGTCTAGGAGCTGAAGGCACCCCAAAACTGCTGCTGGCCCAGTGACTGCCTGGCTTGGGCAGCCCATGAGCCAGCCACGCCGGCTGCTGCAAAAAAGTCATGGAGTCCATGACTTACCTCTAGTTACATTCAAAAATGTCTGCCACTGTTCCCATCTAGAAAGTGTGCCAGAATCTGTCTGACCAATTCACATCACCCAAATTGACTGAAATCCAAACCTTTATTTATGCAGTTCAGTAAGCGTGCAACAAGTGTTCAACAGGTAGCTACAGGTCATACAGGCCTCGAGTGAATTCAGAGGTGGTATGGAGACCACCTCTCTCTAAAGGTTGGGTTTTCTACTTAAAACTGGCTTTCAGGATTTTCTCTCCAACAAAAGCACTTGATAATGTGCATTCTCAATTCTGTACTCACTAATTAGATGAGCTAGGATTTAACATGGAGTTCTTTAAAAAACAAAAGAACACACACGACCACACATCACTTGTGGTCAGTCCTGAATGATTTGATGCCAAACAGTTTAACTTAATCTTGCATATAGGCTACATTTGAAGAAATTAAATTGCCATTGAATTGCATCTTGTTTAGTCTAAATAGGATTGGGTCAATAGTTTAAGTAACTCAGGCAGTCGCAACCCTTCCTTTACAGGGAATTTGCATGTTCAAGCTCTGTTGGTTGTAAATAGTAGGAAGAGAGACCAGACAGATGTTAAGTTTAATGGGAAGAGAGAAGTCTTGAGAAGTGCACTGAGATAGCCCTGCTAGGAGAGTCTTTAAAACAGAAACATTGGGAGTGATCTCTAACAGCCCTTCTTTCAGGCCCCCCACCCAAATCTTTGACCTCTCTGGAAAGGTCTTCCCTGTTGTCCCTTCATGATACCTGCACAACCCTGTTCTCATACCTCATAGCTTTGAGATATTTATGTCAGCTGGAAGATTGCACTTTCAGATGCTGGAAGCTTAATTTGTAACTTATATTTACTCATACACAATGGTCAGATTCACCACTACACAGCAGCTGCTTTGCATTGCTCAGGCAATGATTAGAAGTGACATAGTATCCTTTAAGTTTTTTCTATGACAAGGAGATTCCTAGATTAATTATGTAAACCAGCATTACAGGGGCAGGAAATTCAGATGTAATAAAACCAAACATGTTATGGAAATAATTAGGCACCCAGGCAACCTCAAGTCTACTCTAAAGAGATACAAAATAATAAATACATATTTAATGAGAGGATCCAAACATTAAAGTATCTTGATCTTAACTCAGTTTCCTGAGTTTGTAATGCTCATTTCTGTATTCAGATGGAGAGGAAACCCTGACAAAGTATAGTACAATAGCAAGGGGCTTACCCTACAGCTGTCTTAGATTATAAACTCAATATATACAAAGTTTTCTAGGAATCTCTTCCTCATATTAAATGAATATAGAGGTGTACACCTAACTTTCCCCAAGCAAGATTCTAGAGGCATTGTGTACTAGTTAATCTTCACCTACTTGCATGGTCCAGGCTGTTAAACTTGTGATAAGTGGAAGTGCCACTTAAGTAATTCAGCCAAGTCTCCTTTCGGGTCATTGTACAATTTTAAATCCACACTATGAATCTTAAGTCCTCAGACAGTAGGTGTCCCACTTAGCAAGGCAAGTGCTGGCAAATGTATTTATGTACAGGTTGTGTAAGCGAGGTAGATGAACATTTCTAGCACATATATATATACGCACACACACACACACAAAGTGTTTTAGACTGAATGTGGCTTAAAGCATAAAAATTAAGACAAAATATTTATCTGTTGAAAGCATTTCATGAAAGCCATGTTGCATTTGAACTCTGCTTAGAAGACTAATACTGCTTTTGTGAAATTAAAGGCTTGGGGGTCAACCCTTCCATTTCCAGTTGACTAGCTAACGAATGGTCATTAACCCAAAGGCCCTTTCTGCAACCTTAACACTAAGTAGTTAAAGAATCTTCACCCAGGTTACATCACTTTCCAAAACAAAGTATTTGATTAGATGTACATACATAACAGCAAAATTCTGCTTGTTTGGCCATACAATGATGTTTTTGAAGGCAGAGGGACACTTTAGAACTCTTACCAGAGCTTTAAGAGTTGTGGGAGATTCCAGTAACAACTGGAGGAGTGCACACATGGATAAGACATACCTTGTTCTAACTAAGCACCAAGGGAAGTGGAAGCAGCAAGAACTAATAAAAAAAAACCTTGTATTATATAGAAAGCTTTCCACAAACACAATCGCTTTTATAGGAACTGTTTTAGGAGCATAACCTAGAACTAGTTTACAGAGCAAGTCACCAACAGGACTAAATCCACTAGGTGTTCGAGACCTACTTTCAAGCTTTATAGTGCAGCTGGACAGTATATGTAGTTGACATAAATCCCACTCAATGCACTAGAGTTAGGACTTTTTTTTTCCCCACACACAGCTGTACAATCAGCAGCTGTTAAGTGTTACTGCCCAGATTCATTTCACCTTCAAGCACATTTTGGCACTCCAATGACTTATTACAGAGGTGAGTGTTCTCTACTCCCAGTATTTGGATCTAGTTAGAGGTTGGAAGATTGTTTGCCTTCATGCTTAACTTAAAGGGAACCATCAAGCAAGTGGTTTAAGGCTTCAAGAAGTTCTTGCACTTCCAAGCAGTTGAAAATTAGCTGGTGCCCAGCAATAACCTGTGGCATACCCCACCATTGCACAACAGCTAAAGGCAGAGGGCCCTTCTTTGCTAGCAAAGTTATAGGTACTGAGAAATTCAAGTTTTGGTAATTCTGAACAAATCAAGTTCTCTGAGAGGAGATCCATGTGTAATCAGTTTGTCTGGCTACCGAGATAAGAGTGCGAAGCAAGAAATGGAGTGAAGCATTACTTACAGAAACCAAGTCTTGTCAGAAGCAGCAAGACAGACAGGCAGAGTATTTTAGATTCTAAAAGTCCATGGGATGACTAAACCAAACTCATGAAAGTCTCAAATAAGGCAACCCACTATAATTTATCTAGATACAGGTACTTTATTTACAAATATTTAGATTAATAGCATTGTTACACCAAATGAAGAGTACAGCAGTCCAAACAAGTCCTTTCTGTCACAGAAACAATGAGACCTACTGTAAGTTACTTTGAGAATAAGGGCATTGCACCTCAACTAGCTGTAGTCATTAGAATGCTGTTTACTTCACCCAAATTTTGTTTCATCAGCAGGTCATGGTCCCTGGGCAACCCCTATGCAGTGCAACTTTGTTTTAGCAAAATGCATCAGCCATAAATTTTTAACATTATACCAATCTACTTTAATAATCTTAGGTTTAAAAAAGACCAACCAGACAAAAAACAAGGGACAGTGCACAAGTTACCCAAATCCTATTGTCTGCACATTTCAGTTTTGGCTTTTATTTAACATTGACTGTACAATACTCCGGTACCACTCTTTGCTTAGAAGTCTGAACATTGGATAGTTTCTCTTAGTGTCTGTAGAGAGGGATTTTAAGACTACTTTGTATTTTAAATACTGCAGTTTGACTGGTGTCAATGAATGAATGGTAGGTATAACAAAAGCATGTTCTCTCTGTCTTAGCCACTTATTCTTTCCCCCGCCACCTCTAAATCAAATTTGAAGTTTCAGAAATGAAAATTCGATTTCATGTGAAGCATGGTACTGTGTATAGAGATTTAAATACACTGGTCTAACCAAATAGAAAATACCACATGTACTTTAACAAAGTCTGCATATGCCCGGATACGATTTGAACTCTCCCATTTTATAAAGAGCACTTTCAACATGTGTAATTTTATGAAGGCAGTGTTCTAAATGCTTTTAGTAAGAGGGGACCCTAATTGTTTAAAAAAAGTTTCACTGTAGTGTAAATAAAAATGCAAAAGTAGTTAAAAATCCCTAGAGAGTTCTGACTGTCCAGTTCAGAATCTGACCACTCCCAAAAAGGTATAAAAGCATAAAATGTGTAATAGAACCATTCTATACAATGCAAGGCAGGAAATTAAGCCCAATGCAAAATGCTTACAGAAAGAGAGAAGCAGGTTAGCACACTGTTGATTGCACACAAACAGGGTTAATAAAGAGGCCTAGATATACCACAGTGCAAAGATGGAACAAAGACAGATATTCTACTAGTGTTAATATTGTTGCATCGGGAGTAGAGTTCCCCAGCACAACGCCCACTGTTGACACCAAGGAGTTAAGCTTATGTTAGTGAACTGCAGTTACATCTATCTTTGACTAAATGGGGAAAAGTGTGGTCACATATAGATCATACTGTACAAACTGATATTTTCTTATATACTGTTCTAATGCCAGTAATCAATTTATTTTCTTCATTAAAATCATATACACAGAATGTATTTAACTGTTAGCTCAGTTCCTTCAAATTTTATACATATTTACGCTCTGTTAACAAATGTAAAGGATAAAATGGCAAAAAATGATGTAAAGCTACTGAGCACAAGAAGAAAGAGTGGACTGTTTTCCCTGTGCTAGGCTAAGACAGAAGTAAGTTGTATACTCCTGCAACAAGCTAGCCCACCAACACACACCCGCCACAGGGAATTCCTCCAACAAAAGCACATTGTTATAGAGCCCCTTTTCTACCATCAAGTCATTTCACAGCAAATAAACATCAGTTACTATGGACAGATTTAGAACAGTTACAGATGGGGAAGGAAGGCTGAAGAACCATAAAATTAAACCGTACAAGAAAAGGCCCTGCAAAAGTGTAAAATCATGAGTCCAGCATCAGTGCTCAATTTAAATCATGTATTGGTGACACTATCACACAGACAACTGGAAAAAACTTCTAGATTTACCATGCAGGAGAGGTTATTACTCTACTTGCCTTTGATAACCTGATTACATCTAAAGTTGTTTAGCAGTTTAGTATTGTGTTAAACTGTTGTCTCGGAGTTTAATTAAACCCAGTAAGATGTACAGAAGACAGTGAAGCAGTCAAAAGTACTGCTTCCAACAGAGGTGAAAGGTCAAAAATGGAGCCATGGAATAGAGGTCACTAGCAACCACAGCCTTCTCTCTGAGGCTGGGGTTCACTGGTTAGTCGACCCCCCTGCGGAGCTGAAGGTTTGTGTTGTACACCTGACTCTGCAGCATTCAGATCCAGGCTTCCATCTTGGATATTCTGATAGATTTTCTTGGCAGCCTCCAGGAATGCATCTTCAACATTCTCTCCTCTTAAAAAGAAGCAGCAAAATTAATTCGAGTTGTGCACTACATTACATTCTAGACTGAAGGAGAAGTCATGAATGTGCTTGGCCTGCCATCCACCTCTTTCAGTCACTAGCTGAGATTTTCTAATAGTAACAATTATGCATTGATTTTATGTTCTGTAAGAACAGCTAAGATGACAGAAAAAGCTGGGTACAGTCCAATGTTCCCAACCTAAAGCAGCTATCCCCTCAGAAGATTCTGAAAAAGTAAACTGTCTAATGAAGTCTTTTACAGATTACCAGGCAATGGGGACAGTTTTCAGATGCTATCTCCAGCTTTAGGGGGAAAGAATCAAATCTGTCAGTTCACCCTTGAAGTAGATTAGCCATTAGTACTGTTGGACTTCAAAAATACATCAGTTTTAAAATAGGCTGCACAACAGAGATGGGCTTTTTCACCCCTGCCCCCCCAAGCATTTTCATATAATGATTTTGACAGTTATAATAAAAGGCACAATCAACTGTTCTATTAGTTTCTGTAAATCTTTCTAAGTTAGGGTTTACTTGCTTTTTGAGTTTGCATCATCTACCATAGCACCTGTTGCATAGCACTGATCAGCTGTGATATCCTCTCCACGGTCTCAGTACTAGCAGCTACACATGAGCAAAGAACTGTAGTTCTGGTTTGGAGGATTTTGAGATTTCAGAATTTGGTTTCATTCTAATTTGAAAGAAAAAAGTTTTAAAATTCTCAGCAAAAAAGAGAATTATTGTTCTCTGCCCAGTATAACCAGCAGACCTGGCACTGGAGCAGCGTGCCTGATGGCCTACACTGGAGCAGGGCACCCTGGTAGCCCAGGTTGCCAAGCTGCGAGCCTGAAGCTGTTCTCCCCAGCAGGCAGGGTTCCCAGCTGAATTCTGTCAAAACAGACAAGATCCACAAAACGTTACGGTTCTGACAAATCAGCAAGTTGCAATGAATTTTTTTTTAAGTTTTCCAACCAGCTCCATTAGCAACTGCTAGAGAAGTTTTACCAGTGTGAACACAGTATAGCATGAAGTCCTTATAATCTGTACAGTGACATGCTATTAGTGAAGCCCCTGAATTTAAAAAACAAACAAACCTATACTTGTTAGTTCTGCAAGGTGCTATGGTAGGCCTGGTTTCTATTAAGAGTGTTGCTAGACTTGCCAAGCCATATAGGCTTACCGCATTGTGAGAACACAAATATACAGGTCAACTGGATCTCATAATTCCTATAAAAATAAATTATAGAAATCCCAGATATGTAGAACTGGACGTGGCTAAGTTATCTAGTTCAGTCCCCTGCACTGAGGCAAGGTTAAGTGTTATCTTCTAGACCATCTCTGACAGGTGTTTGACTACCTGTTCTTAAAAGCCTTCAATAAGGGAGATTCCACAACCTCTCTAGGTAATTTGTTCCAGAGCTTAACTACCCTGACAGGCAGCTTTTCCTAACATTTAACCTAAATCTCCCTGGCTGCAATTTAAGGCCATTGCTTCTTGTCCTGTCCTCGGTGGTTAAGGGGAACAATTTGTCACCCTCTTCTTTTGGGGAGGTCAAAAGGAAACTCCCTACAGCAGCTTCTGGCATCGCATCACCCCAATCCAGCAATAGCACGTCATGCAGCTGCATAGCCTTGTACAGATGCAAGTGCACTGCACACTCCATACAGGAGAAGTTTCACACTTCAAGTCTGAACTCTGACCACTACAGAACTAGCAGGGTCATTAAAATGAGGAAGCTGCACAATTAGACCAGTGTAATTTAATCAGTTAAAGTCAGCTTGCAGCCTAAAGCACACACAATAAAGTGCGCCATTTTATCAGTGCAACTCTGATGGAGGAAGGCTGCGTGAGGTCTTAAGTGAAATTAGTTTAGTAGTTTCAGTTTCCAGTTGGACATTGTTTTGTTTTTTTAAATGCCAGCCCATCACAATTCAGCAACTGTTTGCTTGGAAGATGGCCCAAAAGCAGAGTAACAAGATGGTTATTGCAAGTTAAGGTTAAGATGAAGCTAGGCATGCTCTATTCCCCCATCTCCTGATGATATTTTTACTGCAATCTAACCTGAGAAATCAAGTTCACTTTCACCCACAAAACCACAGATTAAGTCCCTCTATGAAAATGTATACTAAACTTAAGAATGTCTCTCTGGGAAGTGTGGTTTTTTTGCTCAAAGAGATGAAGTCCAGGGAACCTAAACATTTTAGTATCAGATAGTAGGCCTATCACTTACGTTTTTGCACTTGCTTCAAGGAACAGCAACCCTATTTAGAAACAAAATTGAAATTGTTAGGGTACATGAAATACCTCAAGAGAACCATATTGTCGTCACTGAAGTTTGAATCCTGAGATAAACACGTGAGGGCCCACTGAAGTTTCATGCTAAATAATACTTGTGAAAGTATTTAAGGTTCTTTTTTTTTAAGTACAACATCAATACGCAAACTTCATTCCTAGTACTAAGCTAAGCCAAGTTAGCAGACTATTTGAGGCAAAGTTCTATATACAACTAAGTTACTTTGAAAAGTGTGCTTTAAACAGCTTCCAGTTACGAATGCAGAAGGTTCACTTTAAAACCTCTAACCTCATTGAAACGTAACACCACAAAAGAAAAACAAAACACACCATTTTCTTCTGCAAATTGTTTGGCTTCTTCATATGTAACGTCTCTCTGTGCTTCCAGATCCGCTTTATTCCCTATGAGGATTATCACCTGGTTCAGAACAGAAAAATATTAGCCTGGAAAACAGTTCAATTGCCTTTTAACCCCAACTCCAAATCAAGTTACTATTAAGCAAAGGGTTCCTCCACAAGGCGCGACATTAGAATAATGGCAGCTCTCTCACGCACCCCTGCCCGGGAGAAATAGGAGAGGTGCTATGGCACTCACAGGGTCTCTCCCAGCGCTCTAAAACAACCCGCTGCCACGAGGGGAATAGCTCTGGTGCTAGTGCTCAGTCTACACTGGCACTTTGCAGCCCTGACACGTGCAGCACTCGGGGGGTGTTTCACACCCCTGAGCGAGAAAGCTGCAGCACTGTAAAGTACCAGCGTAGACAAGCCCTAAGATAGCCAGCTAAGCAGTAGGAAGTGCACCTCCTCCCCTCCTCTGCCCAGGAAGAGGAAGTTGATACAAACTGTCCCAGATCAGAGGGTCTGCAGATGTCCAGGACCTCGGCAAGCTTTCATACAGCATTGCTACCGCTGTCTGTCCCTAAACTATGAGCATTCCCTCCCCCAAAAAACAGGCAGACCCATTTATTTGATCAGGGTGACTAGACAGGAAATGTGAAAAATCGGGACGGGGGTTGGGGGAGGGGGTTAATAGGAGCCTATATACAAGAAAAAGACCCAAAAAAACTGGGACTGTCCCTATAAAAATCAGGACATCTGGTCACCCTACGTTTGATAGGCAAGACTCAGTAAAACTGAAGACACTGCCCAAAAGTTTAAAGGACAGGTCACCCACGCACAGTCCCTTACTCTAGCAAGTAGGGCAGACTAGTGATAGTATCTTGTTTCTCTAGCGACATCTCCACCATAAAGACAGGAATGATAGGAACTCCAGATGCCACATTCAACCCTTCTCCACTATAGGATTCCCATGGCCTGAGGGCTTGTGAAAAATACAGTTTTATTCTAAAACACGACTATGTTGAAGCAGTCCTATCTCATAACTACCTCGTGTGTATTCAGAGTCATCTGCTGATTTGAATGCACATTAAAAAAACCCACAAATATTGCAGAGGCAACACAAGAGTAGGAAAGGGATAGTTCTGCAATCAGAAATGCTCTAACTGAAAGAATACAGCTTGACTTTCAGAGTCAAACAAATATGAAGTCTTAGGTCTTGTCTACACTACCAGCTGGATCGACGGGCAGCGATCGATCCAGCGGGGTTGATTTATCATGTCTAGTATAAACATGATAAATCAACCATTGATCGCTCTAGCATCGACTCCAGTAGTCCACCTCAATGAGAAGCGAAGATGCTCTCCTGTCGACACACCGTAGTGAAGACACCACGTTAAGTAGATCTAAGTATGTCTACTTCAGCTACGTTATTCACGCAGCTGAAGTTGCGTAACTTAGATCGATTCCCCTCCCTGTAGTGTAGGCCAACCCTTAGAAAGCATTTTAATTAGAGAGACATAAGATTAGAACCACACTACAGGAGCTGGAAAGTCTTTTGGCCTCCAAGAGGGGAAAAGAGAACCCTGGAAGAAAGATACTGGGTAGTTCCTTTGGATAAGATTTAAACCCACAATCAAATTGAGAAGAACAAAATAAGTTATTACTAAGTAAAGGACAAGTTAAACTTTCAGTTTAAAAGCAACAAGTTGTGGTGAGAAGAGGGGCAGAACAAAGTCAAATGTATGTTCAATATTAAGATCTAAAGCTAGGAGTAGAAAACCTGGAATAAACTCATAGCAGCCATATATCAAGGACAGCACACTGTAAGCTTATTTAAAAGATTACCACCATGTATCAAGGAAATCCAAGGTTGAAACAAATGTATTTCTTGCTTTGGGATAATAAGTTTTTAAAAAACATAAAAAGCAGTCCAACTTACAGTATTTGGATTGGTGAGGTTCCTTGCATCTGTCAACCAGCTGCTTAAATGGTTATATGTGCTTCTTCTGTGAAGAGCCAAGTGAGGAGGATTTAACTATAGTATGTAGTTACTCCCAATAGTACACTTTTCAGAATTTTAGTGTTTAAGATAGGTTTGTCCCAGAGATGAAGTGATAAGTTCTGTTCTGAATTCAGAACAGAACTTAAGCAACTCAGCTAACCCATGAAGCAGCACGAACTCTGGAGCATAGGCCAGCTACATCAGATGCAGTATTACTGCTTTCCATGAGGGCAACATGTTAAGACACAGTGTTGTATTAAACTCATTAAAGGATTTCCTATCTAATACTCAAAGAATACTGCACTGCAGAATACTGCTTAGGTAACACTGCATAAGATTGCGTTCTTTAAGTAAGACTTATTTTCAGTGAATTAGGATGCATGAAATGGAGAGAAAGTATAAGGCGGCAGAAAAACTGGACATGAAACCACACACTTAAGGACAAGGATGTGCCTTCAACTGTGCCCCAAATGTATGAGGATTTATCTTGTGCAATGCCCATTAAGTTTGTTCTTTGCTTAGAAGACAGGCAATACCTTCAGGTTGCTTTTTTTCCCTAAACCATTAAGTCTCATTGATCGTTCTGTATTAACTATTCCTTTAAAAACATAATTAAAATATTTACTCTTATCTGACTGTATATTCTTCAGCAGATCAATAGCTGAGCTTGCTCAAATGAAGGGAATTTGGACTGACAAGATGGGTGAGGGAACTCTTTAATTGGACCAACTTCTGTTGGTGAGAGAGAAGCTTTAAACTTTAAGGCCACAGAGAGCTCTTCTTCAGGTCTGGGAAAGGTACTCCCAGGAGCACCACTAAACCCAAGGTGCAACAGATTACTTATGCTAAACAATTAGCACATATTCTATTTCCCCATGTTTATCCCCCACCCCCCACTGTTCTTCAGACATTCTGGTCAACTGCTGGAAATGGCCCACCTTGATTATCACTACAAAAAGTGTCTCCCTCCCCCTCCCTCCTGCTGATAATAGCTCACCTTAAGCGATCACTCTCTTTAGAGTGTGTATGGTAACACCCATTGTTTCATGGTCTCTGTGTATACAAGTCTCCCCACTGTATTCTCCACCGAATGCATCCGATGAAGTGAGCTGTAGCTCACGAAAGCTTATGCTCAAATACATTTGTTAGTCTCTAAAGGTGCCACAAGTCTTCCTTTTCTTTTTGCGGATACAGACTAACACAGCTGCTACTCTGAAACATATTCTAAGCAGATTTCAGAGTAACAGCCGTGTTAGTCTGTATTCACAAAAAGAAAAGGAGGACTTGTGGCACCTTAGAGACTAACCAAATTATTTGAGCATAAGCTTCCGTGAGCTACAGCTCACTTCATCGGATGCATACTGTGGAAGCAACTACAGCATTTGCTCAAGAAACTTCCTGAAAAAGCACAAGATCAAATCCGCACAGACACACCGCTGGAACCCCGACCTGGGATATTCTATCTACTACCCAAGATCCATAAACCTGGAAATCCTGGGCGCCCCATCATCTCAGGGATTGGCACCCTGACAGCAGGATTGTCTGGCTATGTAGACTCCCTCCTCAGGCCCTACGCTACCAGCACTCCCAGCTACCTTCGAGACACCACTGACTTCCTGAGGAAACTACAATCCATCGGTGATCTTCCTGATAACACCATCCTGGCCACTATGGATGTAGAAGGCCTCTACACCAACATTCCACACAAAGATGGACTACAAGCCGACAAGAACACTATTCCCGATAATGTCACGGCTAACCTGGTGGCTGAACTTTGTGACTTTGTCCTCACCCATAACTATTTTACATTTGGGGACAATGTATACCTTCAGATCAGCGGCACTGCTATGGGTACCCGCATGGCCCCACAGTATGCCAACATTTTTATGGCTGATTTAGAACAACGCTTCCTCAGCTCTCGTCCCCTAAAGCCCCTACTCTACTTGCGCTATATTGAGGACATCATCATCTGGACCCATGAAAAAGAAGCCCTTGAGGAATTCCACCATGATTTCAACAATTTCCATCCCACCATCAACCTCAGCCTGGTCCAGTCCACACAAGAGATCCATTTCCTGGCACTACAGTGCTAATAAACAATGATCACAAACACCACCCTATACCGGAAACCTACTGACCGCTATTCCTACTTACATGCCTCCAGCTTTCACCCTGACCACACCACACGATCCATCGTCTACAGCCAAGCTCTGCAATACAACCGCATTTGCTCCAACCCCTCAGACAGAGACAAACACCTACAAGATCTCTATCAGGCATTGATACAATACCCACCTGCGGAAGTGAAGAAACAGACTGATAGAGCCAGAAGAGTTCCCAGAAGTCACCTACTACAGGACATGGCCCAACAAAGAAAATAACAGAACGCCACTAGCCGTCACCTTCAGGCCCCAACTAAAACCCCTCCAACGCATTATTAAGGATCTACAACCTATCCTGAAGGATGACCCAACACTCTCACAAATCTTGGGAGACAGGCCAGTCTTTGCCTACAGACAGCCCCCCAACCTGAAGCAAATACTCACCAGCAACCACATACCACACAACAGAACCACTAACCCAGGAACCTATTCTTGCAACAAAGCCCGTTGCCAACTGTGCCCACATATCTATTCAGGGGACACCATCACAGGGCCTAATCACATCAGCCACACTATCAGAGGCTCGTTCACCTGCACATCCACCAATGTGATATATGCCATCATGTGCCAGCAATGCCCCTCTGCCATGTACATTGGTCAAACTGGACAGTCTCTACGTAAAAGAATAAATGGACACAAATCAGATGCCAAGAACTGTAACATTCATAAACCAGTCGGAGAACACTTCAATCTCTCTGGTCACGCAATTACAGACATGAAGGTTGCTATCCTACAACAAAAAACTTCAAATCCAGACTCCAGCGAGAAACTGCTGAATTGGAATTCATTTGCAAATTGGATACTATTAATTTAAGCTTAAATAGAGACTGGGAGTGGCTAAGTCATTATGCAAGGTAGCCTATTTCCCCTACCCCCCCCCCCCCCGACGTTCTGGTTAAACTTGGATTTATGCTGGAAATGGCCCACCTTGATTATCATGCACATTGTAGGGAGAGTGGTCACTTTAGATAAGCTATTACCAGCAGGAGAGTGGGGTGGGAGGAGGTATTGTTTCATGGTCTCTGTATATATAATGTCTTCTGCAGTTTCCACAGTATGCATCTGATGAAGTGAGCTGTAGCTCACGAAAGCTTATGCTCAAATAAATTGGTTAGTCTCTAAGGTGCCACAAGTACTCCTTTTCTTATATTCTAAGCGGCTGTTCAAGGTGAAGCGGCTTGTTAACACCTCTGCATAGGACAAGGGGGGAGCGCTAAATGGGTTACAGATTGTTGTAGTAAGCCATAAATTCAGTGTCTGAGACACTAAAAATCATGGACTGAACAGTTATGAATTTAAGCTCCCAGGCTCATCTTTTGAAAGTGTTGTGCAGGCTTCCTTTGAGGATGAAGACTGATAGGTCAGAGTGACTGCTTTGTGAACAAAGTGTTCATCCACAGGGGATATGGTGTTTTTGTATTCTTTTCCTGTGAGAGTTAATTCAAGAGCATAGTGATTGTCTATTTTCACCCACATAATTATTGGGGCATTTAGCGCACTAAATGTAGTACACCACATGTTGTAATGGGCAGGCATAGGATCTATGGATCTTGAAAAGTGGGGGTGGGTGATCATTGTAACAGCAGAGATATGTCTGCAAGTTTTGCATCTTTTCTGGCAGGGTCTGGTGCTGCTTTGAGTTGGTATGCCCTGGTCTGTGAGGAATTTGGATTGCCCGTGGAATCAAAGCCATGAAATGACAATGACCTCCTCTGAGGGAGCCTAATTGGTGTATGCCTGCATCCCTGCAGGGAATAAGAAGATTTTTGTATGCTTTGCTCCTTATTTTGGAAAGAACTCACAAAGTTCTTCTTACCCTGCGAACAGCCTATTAACCATTTTCTAAAAGAAACACCTTGCATTCCCAGCCTCTAAACGGAGCTATATCAGACACGTGCTGAGTACCCTCTAATCATTTCTACATGGCAATGCAACTTAAGTTTCAAAACACAGCTTCTCCATGCATTGCATCATTTTATTCATTGTTCTAAATTTTTAACCCACCATTCATTTCTTAATGGATAACAAAAAAAAATTTCAGTTCTCTACATACACACAGATAAGGGATATGTAACAAGGTATTAAATAGGTGATTCTAAACCACCACCACTTAGAGAAGCATGTAGAGTACAAGACATTCATTCATCTGCAACCTGACCATGAATATTCAGTAGTTTTTCCTTATACTGAATATAACGTGCTGATAAAATGTATATCGTTGGTATACCTACATGCAAGTCAATTACAGATTATACAGCAAAAAGAAAGGTAGTTGCAGTTGGGAATGTAATTTATGACTATTAGTTAAGACCCTGAAGATATTTAGTTTTACTCTGAAACTGTTTCAGTGACAGGGAAATTACTACATCTTCAAAATACCAAGTCTTTGCTATAAAAAAAAATGACTACACAAAGTTTGAGTGTGTACAAGCAGCTAGCTACTCACTATTTATTGTATTCCTTCCCATTTAGGGAAAGCTAGGCCACCTCTGTTTGAAAGACTACCGATAAATGGGAGAGTTCAAGAACAGGTCAGGACAGGGGTGGGCAAACTACGGCCCGTGGCCCGGATCCAGCCCTCGGGGCTTTGGATCCGGCCCGCGGAATTACCCCCTGTGGTGCCGCAGGCCCTGCGCCACTCTCAGAATCAGCCGGCACCATGTTGGAGGGCCTGGGGGTATGGCAGAGGGCTCCATGCATAGCCCTTGCCTCCAGGGACCGCCCCCCTGCAGCTCCCATTGGCCCGGGAACCTGGAGGCATGGCAAAGGCAGTGCAGTCATGGTGCCGGCTGCTTCCCGGAGTGGCGCGGCGTGGGGCCAGAGCAGGCACGCAGGGAGTCTGCCCTGTCCCCAGGGCGCACCGCTGCCACCCCGAAGCCGCTTTAAGTAAGCGGCACCGGGCAGGAGCCCAAACCCGTCCTGTACCCTGCACCCCAACACCCCCTGCCCTGAGCCACATGCTGCACCCTGCATCCCAGTGCACCCCAACCCCCTGCCCTGAGCCCCCAGCTGCACCCTGCACCCCTCCTGGACCCCAACCCCCTTCCCTAAGCCCCCTCATATATTCCACATCCCTCCTCTGCCCCAATCCCTTGCCCTGAGCCTGTTCCTGCACACTGCAGCCCCTCCTGCACCCCAACCCCCTGCCCCGCATACAATTTCCCCACCCAGATGTGGCCCTCGGCCCAAAAAGTTTGCCCACCCCTGGGCCAGCAGCTTTTTAATAGATCTGTGTAACAGAATGCCGTATCCCAGAATTCCACTACATACTATCTCCAGGGTAGACAACTTGAGTCTGGGAATATTCCCATATCCCCATCATGAAAAATAAAATAAAAACAAAAACTAACTTCCATACCCTGAAATATTAAGAGACACAGAACCACCTTTCAGGTAAGATAGTTTAAATAAGTTGGCAGAATGCAGTAACACCACAATGCCTGAAGGGGGAGAGTCAATAACAGACGTTTCCAAGGAGAAGCTTGTTTATGCAGAACTTTGAGATTCTGAAGTCTCGCATTTATTAAACAAAGTCAATTTGAAAGTAAACTACCAGTGCTTTACTTTTTCAACAGCCATTTGTAGAAGGGAGGGAAATAAAGGAGAGGCTGCATAAGAAAGGGTGAAAATCCACTATCCAGATACCTGACTAGTTTAGAAAACCAAGAGGACTGAGACCCAGAGAAAGTAGTCATATACTATGTAGTGACATTGTACAGCAGTGTCCCAAATAGGCTTGGAAATAAATTGGTAGTCATACCACATGTTCTATTTTAGCTATAACTACAGTTGACAAAACTCAGACAATATCTTACCTAGTAATATCATAGACCATGAGCGCTCCTGCTGCTCCTCTGTAGTAGCTTCGTGTTACAGCCCTAAATCGCTCTTGTCCTGCTGTGTCCCAGATCTGCAGTTTAATTTTTTGGCCACTAACTTCAATTATTCTTGTACCAAATTCGACCCCAATTGTGTGGGGACAGTCAGCCATAACTGTTACAGAAAGATAAATCAGAGGTTCACATCTTTCTACTAGAAGTCTTCTCCCTCTGACAGAGGAAGATTTAGTAATGCCATCTTTCATGGGGGGGGGGGAAGAGGGAGAAGAGAACACTAATCTAAATCAACCCGCTTTACAACAGTAAATTGTTTTTAATTTAAACAGCATTGAATGATTGTGTTCAGGAAATAACTAATGATAGTTTTAATGCACTGCCAAACATTTAAGAATGGTCAATTCATAAATCAGAAAATTCCTAATGGAAGTTGCAAAAGTATGCAACATTAAGGTGTTTGGCACTACAAGTTGAGTAACTGAGTCAGTTTAGATGGCTGCAGAACCAACCCTTGTGGAAACAACTTTAACTTGAAGGCTTAGAGAGACTAACCATGACTTGAAATAATTCAATGAAGTTTATAAATTTCCAACAGACGGTTAAAAACTCTGCACATGACTATAGGAGTGATCATGCCGGATCACACCAGAGATCCATCCAGTTTAGTATCACATTTTGAAGACTTGCCTGTAACTGTTTGAGGAAGGTTTAAGAAACATGTCAGAAGACAGTTCTAGGATAACCTGTCAAAAGGAAAATCATCTTCCTAATCCCCGCTAGAGATCAGTTTATGCCCTGTCCTTGTGCTCAAAATTTAAGTTCTATTGCTTCAAGTTTACAGAACTTTTGATGAATTAAAAATACTTAAAGCATTCTCTCAAAAAATCTGATGGTCTCTTCAAAAGTCAGGCCACATTCAAGAGATTTGGTATTACCTTTGATTACCCTATTCACACTGGAAAGTCACTTTCAGAGCCCTAGTTCTCACCACACAAGCACACTTTAAAGCTGTGTAACTACTTTGCAAGCTCAAGGACATGAAAACTAAGCTACTTTATCCACGATAAGAAAACTGCATGGAAAGGATAAGACAGTATTAAGAGCCACAACAAACTTTCACCACCACTGAAGAAACGAAACTAGCAAAACTTCAGAACTGAGAAGCAACACTTGAGTCAATGCTTATGTACCACATCTCTAACACAGAAGAGAAAAAGGACATTGCAGTTATAAAACAGATACATATACACTCCTTAAGGAGCATGTATCATGCAGATGCAGCAGCTGTGACTCATGACAATCAAGCTATAAAATTAACTCCAGTGTTACTTAAACCTGTAAGAGGCTGCCTTTGATTTTTGGCAGTTATATCCCACTTTGAATGTCAAAAGTATAACTCCTCTCAAAGTGAGCTTTTGCACTCCAACAGAGGCTCTACTCTCACCAAATACCAATGCAAAGAAGTGTAGGAATATTTTTCAAGTGGAGTTTGTGATTGAAGTTTAGTAGCACACTTTCAGAAGCCATCATGTAGCACGACCTTTCCCAGCACCATGCCTGTTACAGATACCCGTCTATGTTTTGGGAATGCTATAGCCTTTACTTCACAGAACTCACTCTCCAGACATGTGGACAGACAAATGACCTGACAGGCAGCAGACTATGCTAAATAACTATTTGCTTCTATCTTCATCATTCTGACTATGATTAGTCTACCTATTTGTAATGGGTGAAGCACCCGAAGGAACTCATGCATGCTGGAAAATAGCTTTCAGAACTAGGGAAGCAGGAAAAAGAAGGAGAAAGCATACCATCAGTTCAAACAGAGGCTCCAAATGAAGATACTCACATTTCTTTTCTGTGAATTGGTGAAGTAAGCAGGACTTTCCTACACCCATGTCCCCTGTTACAGAAAACACAGTTACTGTACTGGTAACAATGGCTTCAATTTAAAAACATCTGACAAACTTTACATTGAATACGCAAGTGCCTTGCTGGACCATGCTTTGCTATGCCTGTATGCACAAGATGCTTCACAGTGCACCTGGTAACAGTACTTTTCCCTATAGCTTTGTTCACAGGCATAGGGTAGTAGAGGCGTCCAAGGAATAAACAAAAGGAAAGGAATTCAGGTTACAGCCTCATGCGATATCACTATTTGAGGTTTGCAAGGTCATACAGAAAGCTGACCCATTAGACACCGAGTGGGAGAGATACCAAGGTTATTTGCAACTTTCAGAAGGGCAACAGAAATTTTAAATTCCATACTGACAGACAGAGCAGAGACCTTTAATTATAAACATTTTACACCAGAAGTTAGGCATCTTCCAGTAGCTGAGCAAGTGTGAGGCAGCTGCTACACTGTCATGTTAGTCCTGTATTAGGCTTCAGCCCAATCATTGCAGTGTGCTTCACATACAGAACTAAATGATCAATTGTTTTAAAGAGAACAAAGAAACAATCAAGGATCTCATAGCAACCTTGATTTGCACACCTTTAAGGCAAAACTGCCCCCAGAGTCATCTACACAAAACCCTTTAGAGTTGTATAAGCAACACAGCGAGCCCAATCCTACTGTGATAATCATAAAAAGAAACAGGTCAGGAAGAAGCATCAGGAGATCTAGTCCAGTGGTTCTCAAACTTTTGTATTGGTGACCCATTTCACACAGCAACCCTCTGCGTGTGGCCACCCCCCTTATGAATTTTTTTTTTTTTAAAAAAAACCTTTAATATTTAAAAGTATTATACATGCTGGAGTGAAGTATGTTTTGGGTGGAGGCTGACAGCTCATGACCATCCTCTGTAAACCTCCTGACCCTCTGAGGGGTCACGACCCCCAGTTTGAGAACCCCTGATCTCGTCCATTCTCCTGCACTGAGGCAGGATTAAGTAAACCTCGGCCATCCCCAATAAGCTTTTGTCTCTAACCTGTTTTTAAAACACCTCTAATAATGGATTCCACAGCCTCCCTTGATAACCTGTTCCAGCATTTACCTATCCTCACAGTTAGGAAGTTTTTTCTAATATCCAACCTAAATCTCCCTTGCTGCAAATTGAGAGGATTACCTCTTGTTCCCCACGTCTACCGAGGGTAGAACAATGAATAACTTAAAAGTTGCTAGAGGACAGTTATTTGAAGACTTCAGTCCCTGCTCAGCCTTTTCTCTTCTAGACTAAACATACACAACTCTTTCAACTTTTCTTTGAAGGTCATCTTTTCCAAGCCTCGTATTTTCATTGCTCTCTTCTAGACTATCTCTCTTAAAAGTATGATGCCCAAAAACTGGACACATTATGCAAGCTGAGGCCTCACAGTCCAGAGTAAAGCAGAACAATTACATTCTGTGTCTCACAACACTCTTATTAACAAACTCCAGCATGAGATTTGCCTTTTTCACAACTACATCATGTTGCTGATTCATATTTATGTTCCACTAATTCCCAGATCCTCTTCTACAGTACTGCTGCCTACAATGGGGAAAACTGGTTGTGTGTGTGTGTTTGACTTTCTTCTTCCTAAGTGTAGTGCTTTGCAATTGTCATTACTGAATTTCATCTCTAGTTCAGACCAAATTCTCCAATTTATCAAGATCATTCTGAATTCTAATTCTGTCCTCCAAGGTGCTTGCAACCCCTCCCAGTGTGGTGTTGTCTACAACTTTTATAGGCCTACTCTCCATCATCCAAGTTGTTAATGAAACTGAATAGTACTGGATCAGAGACACCCTTGCAGGACCCCATGGATATGTCCTTCCAGTCTGGCAGCAAACCATTGGTAACTATTCTGAATATGGTCTTTCATCCAGCTGTGCACCTGCCTCATTGTCATTTCATTTAGATATTTCCCTAGTTTGCTTATAATTTTAAATGCGACAGTATAGATAACCCACAATACTCCACACATCTCTTGTGGTCAAGATAAGGTGCTCGTAGTAAACTTAATTTTGACACTCTACAGTCAAAAGACACCCTAGGAGTGTACGGGCCTAGTACCTGCAATCATATGTCCTCAAGCAGCTGGCCCCAGCGACTATGCAGCTTAATCTCTCAGTTACTTTTTTATAAATGAAAAGAAACAAAATTTGTTTTTTGATGCTGTGGGTTCCAAGTTCAACTGACAAACATTAAGGATTTTCCTCCCCGCCATACCCCACACATAACTGTGCCCCTTTTATGCAGCTGCAGCAGCATAAAGTATTGGAAGAGCCATTTAGCCAAGGGAGGATTTCCCCAGCATAGGCAGAATGTTGCAGGTTTTGGCATAAGGGGTATAATTAGGGTGAGCAGAACCTCCAGAGCTGCCCAAATTGCACCAAGGACTGAACCAGGTCACTAGCATTTGAGAGAATGAAGGAGGAGACTTAAAGTCACTGTAGCCTCTCTTCCCCATAAACTGCACTGCAGGCATTGGTACCCGCGGTAATCTGTTTATTTTTATTTTTTTTTAAATACAAAGTTGCAGTTTTAAGACAGGGACATTTAAAAGCAGCGGCATATTTTAGAGAGGGTTATAGAAATCATTACTCTGATTTAACCATGCACTTGCATAAGTTTGCCTGTGCAATCCTGGAACTATGCCACTCAGTGAAACTCAGCAGTACAACGTACCTAACATGTATTTGTTACAAAAAAGTTTCATAGGTCGTATTGTACATGTGAACAGGAAGTCTCCCATTGCAGGTACATACGTTCACTTCAGTTATTTCTTAGTCAGACTGTGACTGTGGACTAGTTTTTAGTTTTGTTTTTTAATTGGAACTCAAAAGTACAGAGTGCACAAAAGCTTTCTCCCAGGCTGAGATGAACACCAATTTCCTAATAAAGATAAGCTACATCAGAATAAAAGACAATGGCCCAAATTCTGAAATTTTAATCTAAAAGTGGAGATACACCTTTGTGCCTCCCAAATTCTGGGCTGTCTGTAGATTTGTTGTCTGCAATACAAGTTAGAGCAGTTGCGGGAGCTGATTTACAGCATCTTTCCACATCCACCCAGGATGGCTTTAAAAAAAAAAAGAAGAAGAAGTATTTTTCAGAAGACCCAACATTTTAATTTTATTTAAATTAAACACTTTTAAAAATGGGGGGGGGGGGGTTAAATGACAACCTAGATTAAGTCCTAAGCTTACTATGCTCTATTAAAATCATTTAAATAAAAACAATGTTAAAGCAGTACCCAATTGCTCCAAAGCTTTAAAGAAAGTCAAACCACTGAACTGGTAGAAGTCACTGGCCAAGAATCTGGAGCCAGAGTTTGCTGAAGTGCTAAACCAACTTTTGGCAGCATTAGCCTCTTCTGCAGGTGCAGAGAGAATGTTTTCTTCATTTCTGTCTATTCAACTAGTTCAGTTTTAAGTTGAGAAACCAATTGTAGTTGAGAAAGCAGGAAAGCTTGTTTTCTCTCTTCCCATCTATGAATAAAAATGAGGTGTGAGGATAAGATTTACTAGTTATAAAATCCTGAAGGCCATAGTTACCAGAAACATTCAATTCACTTTTTTTTTTATAATAAAAGCAGCTTTAAAATGTAAAATGTGTTGACAAGAAAAAAGGTAGGTAACCAGCATATGTAAGGTAATTTAATAAAAACAGTTTTAAAATGTCTGTATTTAATTGAATTCCAATTTTCACCAAATGCAGCAACACTAGATTAAAATTAAAAAATTTATCTACTGAAAAAAAATGTATCATTCAAGTTTCTAAAATACTAAAAACTAAGCATCTGAGAAGCATGTTATACTACATCTGTATACTTATACAGCGATTATAGTTTATCCTTCTGGTCAACAAGAGTACCACCAAATTATGCCAACCAATGAGAATCAACCTCTCTCTAGGAAAACTGACAGTAGAGATGCAAAACAAGATTAAAATCAATTTAAATCATCAAGGAAGAAACACTGATTTAATTCAGGATTAAAATTGGTGATTTAAGTCATTCTACCCTTCAGCCACCTACACATGGTAAGAGGGGGGGAAAAAAAAGCAAAGAATCTGGCTACCTTCAAGCCCTTTACACTGTGAAAGCGTATACTGGAGACCAAGAATAGCCAAAAACGGGGGCTACAGTCACTAACCCTTTGGGATTGACAAACATTTCTGTATTGTAAGATTGCACCAGAATACAGCCCCACCCTGCTAAGGGAACGAATACTGAACTTGCACTCACTACCAGCTCACAAACAGGTCTTCGCTGGGAAGAGTGTGTCTTCAGTGTAGTGCTTTCTGCTGAGACAATTACACTCTACCGAGTATGCTTTTGTTTCAATGGCCTTGTTTGGACTGTTCTCTTTTCTAGCCTTAGAAAGCAACCACTGTGCATATCAACAAACAGTAGCAGGATAATCCAGCTACAAAAAATAAAGCAGATAACTACAATTATACCAGTACTGTAGTAATATTATCTTCATTAATTTTAAAGCAGAGCAAGCAGCAGACTGGCTGAATGTTCTCTATAGAAATGAGTTTGCATGTTTCCCAGATTCCCCCCTCCATCCCATAAGCAGTTAAACTTCATGTGATTTGCAGCACAACTTTTAACAAGCACCAGAAAACCAGAGCTAAGTGTTGTGGCCTTAGAAATAAGAATTTGGGGGGGAGGCACAATGAAATCCAATTAGAACTACACCTGGTAAGCGGTGCTCAGAAAGCAAAGGAAGGTGGATTTCAGTAAATAGCGCATATTTACCACTAACTTTAAAACACAATATTCCATTAGATGAAGTTTTGTGGGGCTGGAGAAAGTAGAAACAATAGGAGATGCAAGGTGAAGTGTACATAATGATAAAACATTGCTCTAGATGCACACTTAACAGGAAGATTTCCTTTCAGTAGGAACTCACCCAAAGTTCAGATACACTTTAGAATGTCTGTAAGCAAGTATTTATCCCAACATGTGTTTTTAAAGTAAAAACATTTTTCAATTTCATACTTACCAATAATGATGTACTTAAATATGTAAGAGTAGTTGTAAGGTGCAGTTGCCATTGTGGCACTATAAAAAAAAGAAAAGAAATAGATCAGTGGTTTTAAATGGTTAATCTGTATTGCTGATTTAGATACATCCCTTCTCCCTGAAGGGTATAAAATGAGTGCATGTTTTTTCTTGAGCTATCCTTTTATTCCAATCTCAGATTTCTACTGCATTTCCATGCAGCCAATGGATTAAGAGATGCAAATACTCAGAACACAAGACATCCAGTAACAGGCCCTTCCATGTCATGTATTACGAAGCACTGTCTGCACCAGGGACTTCCATGAACAAATTCTAACTAGTGCAAATACTAGTCTAGCCGCTCCATACAGAAGGCTCAAGCAGCTTCTGGCACTAGTGGGAGTGTATAATATACACCTCTACCCTGATATAACGCTCTCCTTGGGAGCCAAAAAAATATCTTACTGCGTTATAGCGAACTTGCTTTGATCCACCAGCATGCGCAGCCGCCCTCCCTCGCAGCACTGCTTTACCACGTTATATCCAAATTCATGTTATATCAGGTTGCATTATATTGGGGTAGAGGTGTAATCAGATTCTTTAGTGCAGATGGTTTGACAGAAAATAGGACATTCCAACTTCCACATTTGTGGAGAAGTCTCAGTTTGACAATACAGTGCTAGTTACAATTTAGAACACCTCTTTTGAAGTCCCAAAAGCTTTTCTAAAAAAAAAAAAGTGCACTTTAAGATTTGAACCAAAGCCATAACCACCATTTTGCCATTACAAATAACTTAAATTACAGTATACCACAGAATGTTTTCCAAAGATAAACACTACAGATTTGCATATTTTAAGTCAGCTAAACCTGCTCACTCTAGTTTATAGAGAAGGCTACTTCAGGCCCCATGCTCTGTTGAGTAAGAAGTCTAGATTTCCTACATCCAGTCATTGAGAGAGCTTAAGCCACAGGTCAGATGTTCAGGAAATTGGACAATAATTGTTGCTTTGTCAGCCAGACAGCAGTGAACAAGCCTCAGTAATTTGACTACTTTTACATGAACTGATCATTTTATATCATATCAACCTGTTAATTAACTTTTACTTAAACTTTACTATAAATGGTATACTAAGTAAGATAAGGTGAATTATTCTGGGAAGTTTAAATACATAGGAATAAGGAATGCTTAGTTCTGTCTAGATTGACAAACCAAGTCATTGTCATTATTTACCTTTAATATATGCAATTTTTGGATCTAAACAATTTCAGATACCTGCTTAAAAACTGGAACTATAGTTCTTGTGAGTTTAACATTTATGAATGACTCCTCTGCCTCACTGAAGACTCCTTTTACTACTTCAAAGTACAGCTATGTCGGAGTTCTAGTCCTGCTCAGATGTTTCCTTGGAAGCCTTGTCCCTTCATTAATTCCCTTAGTGGCACTTCTCATGCATCTTATTTCCTACCCACCCCAGCCACCCGTTTAAAATGAGGATAGTGCTGCTCACCCATATGACTAAATGTTAAGTATTCATTGATTCAACATCTTCTGCACTTACTCACTCATTTTCCTACCCCCCGCATGTCAGATATCCCTCTATGTAACTAGTGGTTTTGGATCTCTAGCCCACTTAAGTCATATTACAAGTTAGTGCAACTTCAACTCATGGAGATAGGACAAGTGTGTTTATATATTAAAAGAATCAGTCAAGTAAAATCAGTGGGGAACACTACAGAAATGCTGACAGTTCAACGGCATTTTGATATATACCATAGTAAACACTTCTTCTTACTCACCTAAAAAGGAAACTAATCCAAACCAATGACCACTCAAGGTAAGGAAAAAGCCTGAGTTGACTGTCTAACAGGAACACTGCATACAGTGTGAATCCAAAAAGATGGTGTGGACAATAGTTTAGAGCACAGCAGGAAGGACAGAAGGAAGAGACTCCAGCAGGGACTTTTGGGGGGAAGGGGTGGGGTAAGAATAGCTTAAAGGTCTTAATGTGTGCAAGGCAAGATATGGCAGTACCAGGGACTTTCCCCTTCCCCAGCTGTTTTATTCAGAGGAAGTTCCCCTTTCCCCTCTGTCCAACCAGACAGCACTTCTCTACCTTTCTCAGGTCTCTTGAATTAGGCAACTTCCACTCCATGTACCCCAAGCAGCTAAGCAAACTATCTAAAACATCATAAGTTAAATTCTATTAGGCCTAAACTAAGCCTAGATAGCCCAAAGGAGTTTTTGCACAAAGTTATTCTGGTAATGTAATAGCAAGGCAAGTTTCCATCATGAGATGCTCTGCAGTAGCTCAGAGCACCTTTGGCACTATTTTGGTTGGAGGGGGAAGGGGGGGAGGGAGAGAGAACTGGAGAGGAAATGATGGTCAGGACAATAGTTTTCTTCCCCTTCCACCCCAGACTATAGTTCTCAGAACAAGACTTTAGATCCCCCTCCAGAGACTGTCTGAAAGCAGTGCAAGGCAGTAGTTTTGCAAGGACAGTACTTCTTGTTGTACTGGGTAGAAGAGCAATTGTGGGAGTCAAACAACCCACTGATGTAGGGCTATAACTTCAGCATCAAGCTTTGTCCTTTCACATAAAAGGCTCAAGTTCTTTCAAGCTTACACCACCAGTTGCTGGATGTGCAGTGATACTTCTTGCTATATTCCTGAAGATCTTCATCATATTTAGAAAAAGATTACTTCAGTGTCAGATGAATGTTAATGCTCCAAGTACATAAAGAGTTCAATGTCAGTGCAGCTTTTCCAGTGTGGACACACCCTGATGCTGCAGATTTTCTGACTGCATCTTCCAGGTTTTATATGCTGGAAAGGAAGCAGAATGAGTCCCAAGAGCAATACCATTCAGTGTCAGAAAAATCTTAACAGGTTTGTTGAACTAACAAGATCAGAATAAACTTAAGTTTGGCTACTGCTTTTTCTCCCACTATAGTATATAGGGACAACATAAAGAATTCTCTATCAACCTAGACGCGTCTATATTGGGTGTTAGGGCATGGAAATTTTACAGCTCTGAGCAACTTCACTAGGTTGATCTAATTTAAGTGTAGATCAGGCATCAGGCTTTTGCCAGCATAGTGATATCGATTTGGGGTGCAATTACTCCCCCACGCACACTTCTAACCACGCCACCAAAACCATTAAGTGTAGACTAGACCAGAGATAAAGTTATAACTCCTTCTAATTTTTAAATCTTTAAATATTTGGAGCATTCATCAAGAATAGATATTTCAGAAACAAAGCCTAATTCAAATATTTCTTGATCAAAATATACCTTAAGATTTAACACACACATAAAAGCATTTATCAATTTACAATTGTGCTATAAGATCACTTCAAAAAAGTCTATCACAGAATATCAGGGTTGGAAGGGACCTCAGGAGATTATCTAGTCCAACCCCCTACTCAAAGCAGGGCCAATTCCCAAATATATCAATGGATAAATTATGAAGCCACAAAACTTTCAGATGCATACTGTGAATCACCATGTTACACATCAGTAACACTACAAGTGAGTAATTAATACTGAAACAGTACACTACATAAAGTAGCTAAAGAATTGCCATTCCAATTAATACTTCTGAATGTACAATTGAGATACTAAGTTAAAGATCTTAATGACCACTCAAGAGCCTATCAGATCAAATTTAAGATCAAGTCAGGTTCAGTTAACCATTTCCAGATGTCTGAAAGCGTTTTGGTCCAATACAGGTAACTCCAATTTGAAATTAGCATCTAATTTGTTGATGAGTTATATAGTCACTTTTATACAACTAAAAAGTTAGATCGCTACTTAGAACACAAAAGAGTGCCCTACTAGGCCACTATCTTATCTCCAACAGTGGACTATCAGATACTTCAGAAGCTGTAAAAGTCCCTATAATGAATGTGGATAAAACATGGGCGAGGGGAAATCTTAACCCCAAGCAATTAAGCTATTTTAAGTATACCAAAAGATTTGTCAGGCCATAAGTTTTTTATCCTAAGATTAACTACTACTATCGATCATAATGTCTAATCCTTTATGTTGGTTGGCAAAGAGTGTAGTAGGAATGAAGACAGCATTCCATAGATTAGTTTTCTTTTATCAGCTTTATCATGCGTTATGCCTCATGTCCACTGTTTAGTTAGTATTAGTCTTTTTAATGCCATTCAAAAAGATTTTCATTGCCATTCCCAGGACCTTTTCTATTACTACTATGTTCTTTGGGAAGGTGTACACTAGACTTCAGACTACCAAAGGACTAAGCGTACCAGCAATTTTATAGAATAGCAGCATGATTTCAATATTCTCTTCCAGCTTAGAAAACAACCCACTGGAGGCTAAGGGGAGGAGGGCAGATAATCATGATTTTATAAACCTCTGTCATGGTATGGAGAAAGTGAATAAGGAACTGTTATTTACTCCTAAACATAACAAGAACAGGGTGGGGGGGGGGGGTGTCATTCAATTAAATTAATAGGCAACAGATCTAGAACTAACAAGTACTTCTTAACAATGTACAGTTAACTTGTGGAACTCATTTCCATGGGATGATGCAAAGGCAAAAGTGCAACTGTGTTCAAAAAGAATTAGATAAGTTCAGAGAGGATTATGTCCATCAATGGCTATTAGACAAGATGCTCAGGAATGTGGCCCTAAAGCTCTGACTGCCAGAAGCTGGGAGGGAAAGGGGGTGGGGGGGAATGAATTTTTCCAACTGCCCTGTTTTGTATGATCCCCCTGAAGCGCTAGTAATGACCACTACACAAGACAGGATATTGGGAGAGAGAGACCAATGGTCTGACCCAGTATGGCAGTTCTTGAAGCAATTTTGTTTGGAAATGTCAGTGTTAACAATGAAAAGTTGTTCAACACAAAATTGATGCAACAGACAGGATATCAGTAAGGCCCTAAACTTTCTTCAGCATAGATGAGAATTCTATGTGAAACTTGTTTTTGTAAAGAATCTATTAAATCTGAAACTTTACTAACAATTAAGGAATTAAATAAACAAGTACAAAACATCCATTTTACTTCCTTCCCATTTTATTGTCTT